TTGTGTGGGTTTTTGGTAGTGGACAGTGCATTCAGGAGGAAGGGTGGGATTAGGAACCAGTATATTATCATACATTATAATGAGGGCTGGTATCCACCATAGCAAATCACATCAACCCTTTTTTATCGTTTTAAGGCAGAGCTCTCCCACCATCATGTGCTGACAGACAGGTTTTGGAGTACAGAGGGATACCGAACACACACCAGCTGCTCATTGTAAGAATAGTTGACTATCTTATTGTAGGAATATTTCATTCTCAAAACGTTTTACAATAGAAACAACTGAAATGGAATAAACAAAGCTGACTCACAGGTGAAATGGCCAATCGGAGGATGGTCCCGTTCTTGATTTCACCACGGCTCTAGAAAACAACAAGGGAAGAATTGTTTCTACACGTTCAACACTGATCTACGACGCCATAAACTCAAGCTTTGGAAGAAAACTGTGAAGCTCACCTGCTCAGTGATGTAGAGCTGAGGGCCATCAGCATAGCGCAGAGCAAACTGCTCGGAGCCTGATAAAGACCAACTGAGGAGGAGAACAAGGTGGAAGGAAGTGGTTCAGCTGTTGGATACCAACTAAAAGGAGTAGTGGAACTTATTTTTATGGAGCATACTCCAGTCAAATTTCTCCCTCCAGCATTTGTATTTAAACGAATAAATTAGACATTTTGGAGGAGGATTATTCAGTGGCAGCAGTAACAACGGGCAGAGAATTCAGGCATTGCGGCTTAAAATGTGAAACGGAGGGAGTGGGTGGATACGGCTGAGGAGTGGATGGGTGGGATGAAAATGTGCAATATTCATCGGACGAGATGAACCGGCGAGTGCCGCGCGGGATAATGACGCCGAAGTGGGAACCCGCAGAGAGGCGGGGAGGCTGCCGTTGGGAAACTCCATTTCTCCCGCAGTATGGCAGCGCGTGTGCGTGTGTGTGTGGATGCCATGGTGTCGTTGTCATTCTGGGCCTGCACACGCGTGTGTGTGTACTCACTAGGTCTGGGCTGCGTGTGCTTTTGCTCTGCTGAGAAGCTCCCCTGAGGTGCTATTGTAATCCTGCCGCGTGAGATGAAAAAACCTCAACCGGGGCTTTTTTTTTCCCTTTGTGCAATTATCTGTGCTTTTCATGTCCAGGCCACCCGTTATTCTCCCAGGCCATTAACGCTACGGAGAGTCATGCGGTCTCGCTGCGGGGAAAAGCGCTTTGGTTTTGCGCTTTAAAAAAAACACAACAACCTGTAATTTGTTTGGTAATGACCCCAAAAAAGTGCCTTTTAAATATGAACTGTACCGTTGAACCGAATGCAATCTCATAGGCGAAAATGGGATGCGGGAGACGTCCGACGCACACAAACGCACCAGCAGAGGCTCCGTCTCTGCACTTTAGTTGTACCGAGGAGGAGGTTGCTCCTCTAAATGTCCCCACAGTGGATGTTTTACTGCTCGGCGTGTTGTCACAGGCCCGGGTTCAGTGACGGAAAGCTCCGATGGTGATAAAAGGAAACCCGCTTCCTAAATTCATCAATTATTCATGCGGAGGCTGTTTGCGCGCAGGTTGACTTGTGTTTTGTGCCGCGGCGGCTGTGATCCCGCCGATGTGTTTTTATTTTAACCGAGGCTTGATTTTTCTACACCGGAAGCCTGAGATGTGCGCGCGTTTTGAATTGTGCTCACTGCTGATTTCTCCGGACCAGCAGACGAGCTCCGGCCTGCCGTTACGATGTCGAGCTGCTGGAATCGTTCTGTTCCACGTGCAGCGCAAACACCGAAGAATGTTTGATCTTCTTCTCCTTTTGTTGCTTCGACAGAGATGCTTTTTCATTCCCGCCTGAGAACAGTTTTTTTTATTCATTCTTCGCCTCTTAAAGGTCTGCATCGTATCACGCGCTCGGCCTTTTCCCCCCGCGGCTCGCGATAACATCTGCAGCTGCAGTTTGCTCAGTCGGAGCAGCCACTGTGTACGGTTTACAGCGCGCCCACGAAAGCCCGCCGTCCGTGCTGCAAGTCCGCCGGCGGTGCAACGAAACCCCTCTGGGTGCAAAAGAAGTTGACTTGAGCACTTGACGGTTAAGTTGCCAAGAGGAGCACCGGGTTAAATAAGAGTGTGAGAATGGCTTAACTAAGCTGGAGAAACGTCTGCTCCTCGTCCTCCTCTGATGTCATTCAGCGCGTTCGGGTCCTCGCTCCCCGTCCGCCCGCTGATGCCGCCTGCGATTGCCCCTAATTCCTAAAGACGTCCCCCCCCGCGGTACCACGTTCTGTCGCAACGACTTCAAACAAGCGCGCGCGTGTGAGAAATGAATGATGTGGTGGAACCTGTAAGACAATATTCCTCCAGAGCAAATTGGAAAGTGGTGTTTTCCCCCGAGCAGACGCTGGTTAAACATTCATGTGACTTTTAGCCGTGATTTAGGAGTTGGTGCCGGTTAGGGTGATGTAGTGCACCGTCCCTCCTCCCTCCACAAAAGGCCTCTCAACCTTCCCCCTCTCACCTCGCTCTCGCCAGAGTCCCTTTTAAAATACCTCCAGTTTTTAGATCATCTGCCATGCATAAGCAAGCAGGCCCATTTTTAGCCGCTGCAGTGGTCCAGCAAAGTTTTGTACAAGCAGCGAAAGTAATGGCCACTTATCTCTCGTGTACACAAATGTATTCAATTTACTGAATACCTACTAGCTATTCAATATTTATGGCACGGTAAAATTGCAGCGGAGTAGGTTTGAATGCGGAGGAAGGTAGCGATTGTGAAATATGCATGAGTGCACATGCAGCACGGGCCATTCAGACGTGGGCTGCAGCTCTGAAAAGGGGGGGTGGGGGAGGTCGTAGCGAGAAGGAAGTGATGGAAACGTAGAGGGAAGAAAAAAAGAAAATCAGACGCTCCCGGTTTAAGAGAAATGAAGATCGGTGGTTGAGGAATCTGAATTTAAATCAAAAGCACTGGAGATTCTTTATTTTAATTGGTGTGTTTCCCTCCAAATCGTCCAAAGCGAAAAATACAAACCCAATTTCAAAAGATGTCAGTTGCAGACTTAATTTCTCTTGTCGATTGAAATAGATGTGACGTTCTGATGAGCACTTTTTTGGTACGATCATAGATGGCGAAGTGTAGCGGACCTTCATCTGGATGGACCTGTAAAGCAAAACGTTTCTTTCCCGCTGTTGCTGCTTTAAACGCTGCAACAGAAAACATGGCGAACGAAATGTGACGTCGCTGTGACTCCAAACTCCCGTGAACACGCAGGGATTCCTGCACATTTCATACAAGTGTGATTCTAGAGGCGTTTAAAGACGAAACTTTTCTTCCAGCCCAATTTCTTCAGGTTGTAAAGAACCTTTATTCGCTAGTCTGAGTTTAAAAGGTCAGCAGAAATCAGAGAGCATTGAGCATGAAATGAAAATAATTACATTTTTGAGACATTTCTTGGTTGAAGAAAGGAACTGAAAAACTCTCAGACTGGAGTCGCAATATCGCTCCTCTATTTCTGCCCACTGGCTTTCTGTTAAATAAGTCAATATATGTAAGTATTACCTTTTTTAATAATTCATTCTTCTCCTCTTATTTTTTTTTTTAGCTCCATTTTGATCACTTGAAGCCCAGAAAGCTCTTAAGCAAACTTTACAATCAGAAGGTCCGTGCATTCATTTGGGTTCCTTCAGTCTGATTAGAAGCAGCAAAATGATGCAGCAGATGTTCACAGATGTGCGCAACGAAAAGGCCGACTGAGGTCAGTTCCCGCAGTCATTGGGGCACATCTACGCAGAAACATCTTCTTGATTCGGCTCAAAGTTTGAGACGTGCCGTTCAGGAAGCACAAGTAGATTTAGAATTCAATTCAAACAGCAGCAACGAGTCAGGCATCATTTCGAGCTGCTGACCGGTTTCTCCTCCAAGCGGGACGTCCATCTCTGATGTTCCTCGGTTCCTCTGTGAAAAGGCTCTCATTGGCTGACGTGGCTGTTCGCAACAACCGTCTCTGCCGGCCCTTCCAGAGACGCTCGCTGGCTCGCTGGCCGCGTGCAGCTGTGCAGAGCGGAAACGTGGGCGTCGGGCGGCGCCTCGTGTTGTGTTCCATCCATAATCGATAAAGGTCACAGGCGCATTCTGCTTCCCATATTACGCTAATTGCGACCGCTTTGGGGAACGTAGCAGACACCAGAATGGGTGCAAATACTTTTGCAGCGAATGTGTGTGTGTGTGTGTGTGTGTGTGTGTGTGTTGACGTGATCCTGAGCTATTTGTTTCTGACACGTGTCAGAAAGGAGATGATCCGCCTGCCGCGGCTGATTTCAGACGCGAGGAGGAAGACCATGTGGAGCAGGCGGGCGTCAACGTGCAGCCGGGCAGGCGGCGCCATGTTTTGCACATTCAATTTCCTGTGTTTAAATCTGACACGCAGGTTTTGTTTTCATTTTCCTTTTACCAAACTGAATATGATAATGTCACTTGAGAATTGCTAGATGAAAAGATTTCCATGGTGATTTCCATACATGTTTTTTTTTTTTTTTCCCGCTGAAGGATATGAATTGAACAGCCGGCGCCGGGTTTGGAACCAGAACGCCGCGCATTATAATGAAATCATCCTCTTTTTTTTTTCTGCTCAGAGGAGCGATGCTTTGAAAATGGAGTTTGAAAACCAAATTGGATTAGAAATGGTGGAGAATTTGTGAGGTATCTCTTCAATTTCACAGTGTGTGTGTTTGTGTGCGAGTACGTGTAGGAGCCTTCAGTCTGCAGCCATCAATATTAATGTTGACTCAAAGCTTTGGTCCTCAAAACCAGCCTGCGATTCCGCATCAACAAAACTCAAAAACCTTCAGTTGTTGACTACGCATCGAGGTCTGCTCATCCTCTGGTGGTTTAATACCTGTTTTATGATCCTCCTCCACACCGAAGTGAAAAATGCATCTTAAGGGCGTTTGAAGTGTTTGAAAGCTGAGTGAGGCGGGTCGGGTTCGCCGTCTATTCACCGTTAAGTGTGGACATTGAGCAAAGTAGAATAAATCTATTCGAGGAATCCATAAGTTCCTGACTCTGGGATCAGCTTCGAGAAGCGGCAGCAGGATGAGCGGCGCGCTCGCAGAGGGAACGCGTGCAGATGTGAATCCAGTTGTTTTTTTTGTCTCCTCGCAGCTCTGAAAAAGGGACGGTTCTGGATCACCCCTGACCCCTACCACAACGACGACAACATCCAGATCGGACGCGAGGTCAAGATATCCTGTCAGGTGCAGTTGCGGTGCCGGAGTAAACACACACACACACACACACACACACACACACAGAGTAACCGCGGTTGCTGAACGCGGCAGGTGGAGGCGACTCCGCCGGAGGAGCTGACGTTCGGCTGGCTGAAAAATGGCCGCGCGCTGCGGAGCTCGGAGCGAATGGTCATCACGCAGACGGACCCCGACATCTCGCCCGGCACCACCAACCTGGACATCATAGACCTCAAGTTCACCGACTTCGGCACGTACACCTGCGTGGCGGCGCTGAAGGGGGGGGGCATTCCCGAGATCAGCATCGACGTCAACATCTCGTCCACGACTGGTGAGCCTCACACCCCATCGCGTCACTGACGCGTCCACCCCCCGCCCGCCCGCCCCAACGCATACGGCGCCTCGCAGCTACGTCAGAGACTGAGGGTCACGTGGAAGGAAATGGGAAAAAAGGGGGCGGGGCTTGGGAGTTTTTTTTTTGCTACCAATCCTATCAGTTTTGATGTAGTTTCACTGTAATTGTGTCCAGCCAGGTCTTCTAAGACGTCTCTTACATTGCATCCACTGCCTTTATGAACTTAGTGATTCGTGGTATTATTAAAATCAAGAGTTTGACACCTAAAACGGTGGACTGTAGTATAAAGTTCTACATGTTGATAGTAATGCAGCCATCAGGTTGTTGTGTGTAACGGACAGGAATGGTAGCAGAGATGTGAATTTTCCTTTTAAATGGTCCCTTCACCCAAATGTTTGGATGATTCACTGCTATCTCACCTCTCTTGTGGTATAACAGTGTACCATAACCGCCAAATTATCAAATATGAAGCCGATGAAGACAAAACCATCACATTTAGTGTGTGTGTGGGATTTGGGTGAACTGACCCTTTACGTCTCGACGGGATACGATTTGGATCCGTCATCGAATTTGATTTATTGTGAACCGAAGCCGACTCCATCAGTCCCACTAATCAGCGACTAAACCTCCATCGTCTTCCCATCTAATTGGCTGCTTCCACCACTGTTTCCCCCGCGTGCCTGCAGCATGTTAACAACACAACACACCCGTCGTCTGATCCGCATCGCTCCACTTTCCCGGCACGTCGAGGAGCCTTTCCGCAGCAGCCGCTCGATTCATCGGGGCTTTTGTAGTGAAATCATTCGATCTTTGAAAAGCATGTCGGCCTTTAAAGGACCGACTCCCTCACTTCCTGCAGGCTCCGCATTACTGGTGACAAAGTCACATCAAGTCCCGATGGGACGGGAACGGTGGATTTGTTTTTGTCTCCCTCGTAAGGTCCCATCGGAGGGCAGCGCACGCGAGGTAGCCGCCATGGCTCCGCCGGCCCGCGGACGCCCGCGGCCCCCGATCGACCTGCAGAGACGCCGCGATTGTCGGCCTCCTCCAGATGTCTGTTTGCTTTAATTCTTCCCGGCGTGTGTTCGGTCCTGATAAGTGACTTAAAGGTTGTGTGATATTTTGCGAATGCTGATTGGGTTCCTAGCGAGCTTCATTTCCCACTTTTCCACACACGCAAACTACTCGACAGGCATGTTTTCTCTTTCCTCAACTCGGTCTCGGCCGCCTGCACGCGCACACACCTCGCTGCCGCCGCCACAGCGAGGACATGAAAGCCGCGTGTCAACCTCGGGTGCATAATTACGTGTGAGATAATCCTTTGATAATCCCGGCGCTATAAAACGCTGCGATCAATCGCACCTGCCAAGATTGTTTCCTCATTATCTGGTAAGTAGTGCGCTCTTTTCTTCTGGAGTGCCTGGGTGACGGCGATGCATTAACGCAGACCCTTTAATGTTCAAATCAAGTCAAAAAAAAGCTGCTGTCTGACTGAGGAAATAAACGGGGAGATGGTTGACTCCTTTGTGATGGGAGGAAATGACGGATTTAGGCTTCGATGAAATTGCTTTTGGAGCTCTGGTTGTTGCCGTCAGCTATGCAGGTATAAAATATAAGTTGTTGCATTGACATGAAGCCGTTGCTGTCGTGGGAAATGTCGTCTTTTCCGCTGCTAACTGCTCCCGCCGCGTTGCCGGAATGTGGCCGGTCTGAATTCGAGGGGAAAAAAAAAAAAACGTTGCGCCGTCGCCCAGATTGGTGCCTTGAATCCGAGAACTTTCTTTCTTCGGCGCCCGCCGACTAAAGCTGCTCATGCGTCCGCCGCGCCATCCCCTCGCAGCCCGTTTCGAGGTGCGTAAGCCCAGTTTTTTTCCCTGTGCCTGTTGTCCTGAAGGGAGAAAGCCCGGCCCTCAATTATAAGCCTTAATAAAAGTGTCTGGGGGAGATTACAGAGCGGGTCTGCCAGGGCTGCGTGCTGCTGAAGTGCTCAGAAGTGGATTCGCTCGCTGGCTGTTCAAGCATCGGATTCCAGACTTATTCTCGGCCCTTATAAAAGAGAGTATTTGTTATGTATAAATATAATAATTATAACAGCCGCGGTGATTGCTCACCCTTTTGCAAAACAGCGCTATTATTTACCACCATTTACAAGCTCATAAAATAAGCATCTCTTCTTTTCTCGTCAAATACTTATTCATGAGTTCATGAGTCTGGAAACGAGGACCTTCCCTTTGGATACTGTCAGGATTAACAGCTGCAAGACACAAGAAAAGCTGAAAGGAGTTATGAGTATTAGAGATCCCGTGAACGGGACCTGGCTGATAATTCCCCTCATTAGTCTGCATGTTAACGGTGTGTTTAGTGGGTGCGTCTTGCTGGATTATTGTTGGGCGATGCGGTTATCGCTATTTTTATGGGTCTGACTCTGAAATTGCATTTGGCTCCAGACTGGAACCACCACTGGGACCATCTCAGAGATCCATTTTAATAGCTGTTAAGGGTGCGGCGTTAACATTTAAAGGTAATATCTGCGTGTCACGATTGCCATAAACACTGCATTGCACTGCCTAGAATTAAAAACAAATGCGAGAATAGTCTCTGTTTATAAATCCCGAATCGCTCTCCGTCTAATTGATGATGGCAAAGCAGGTATTAGGATTGTGGAGCTAAATAAATCCTTTCACAACGAGTTCCCCAATTAGCGTCCCGACCACACCTGAGACTCTGGCACCACCCAGTGTCCCCGTCAATCACAAGAAACACTGCAGGTTAGTGAATTAAAAAGCGATCCGGTTTAATAGACACAAAGCACAGCCCTTATTTCTCGTGGCAAGTCGGGTTGGGTCACGCAGAGCTCTGGTGCCCGCCTCCGTCTGTCCGCTTGACTGTGATTCGCCGTGAGCGGCACATCTTCGCAGTGGGCGCCACACATGCGGAGCGCCGGCGGCCGAGCGACGTGCTTGTTTTCAGCAGTTCAGTTAATTGACCCCCGACGAAGACGGCGACCTGGCGGCGGCAGTGGTCGGGGGTGCCGAGGTTCAACTTCCACTAGAAACGTGTGCTGCTTTTGCATCTTCAAAGAATGTCAGTGTTCTTTTAATATCCATTATATCCATTATAATATCCATTATATCCAAAACATCCATTATTATCAATGGATCCTTTATTATTTGGATAGTTAGTAGCGTGTGCTAGGGCGAGTTGTGGTACCTAAACTGGGATTGGTTGTAATGGTCCCCCTGGTCTGTTTATTAAAACGGATGAAATCACCTCTAACAACTCCAAGAGGCACGAAAAGGTTTGTGGCTGCGAACTGAGCTGAAATAATTACACGTGAGAGCGTGTAGATCGCAGCAGTCGATCAGCGGAACACGCAAACTGGCCCCGGGAGCCGTGAACTGGGCCGAAGGGGCCCGACAGCTGCCTCAGCGCTGGGAGAGATCTGCCGTGTGACAACAGAAGACGCCGCCGCGGTCCTGCCGCTTCTTCGAGGACGGACATATAACCACCTGGCACCATGTGGCGGCACATCTGTGATGTTTCTGGAGAACAGTTAACAAAACAAAAAAACTGCTCCATATTGAACTCATTCGTGTAGATTTATGGTGGAAATCTACTGGTTACTATTGTAGGGAGATCTCACTAGTTTTCCCTTTAGTCCATAAAATACGTAAATAGGATGTAAGTTGTTTGATGTCAGCGGAACGACATTCAAACACACACACACACACACACACACACACACACACACACAGAGTTGTGTGTTTCGTCAGCTGTGTGTCACTGCAGTCTATCAACCCACTTGGCCAATTTGAACACATCTGTGTTTGTTTGTTGCACTCCAGCGGCTCTGCCACACACACACACACACACACACACACACACACACACAGACTCACAAAGACGTCCACCGTGGACCTCTGGGACTCCTTCATTTTGTCCCCAGAGGAGCAGAGAGTCCCGTCACACTGTGACCAACTCATCGGGCCCCCAGCTGCGTGAAGACACACAATCACGTGCATTTACACACACACACACACACACACACTCTGCGTAGAGGGCGCTGCGTTGCCATGGCGATGGGGAGTGATGTCACCGCAAAAATACGAGTGGGGGGGGGGGTTGTTTATTGTGGAAGACGTCCGGTTATTTCCTGCTGAGAGGCTGCAGCTTCGTTCCCGCTGAGGCCGATCGGACTGGAGGAAACATTTGGGGCAAGTGGAGGAGAAGCGCCGTGGAAATAAATCAGCAATCGGCGGACGCCAGTGAGACGAGTGTCTGCCTGCCATCGTCTCTGACGAGATCACAGCTCCAACAGCTCCTTTGGTGCCAAACGGCATTGTGAATAACCGGTGTTCATTATCCCGTTCTAATGACACCAACATGTTTAATACTCGCCCGAAAAGTTGCATTCTGTTGTACGAGCTTAAAGCGGCTTTGCGTGTGGATTACGGCGTTTTCCTCCGTCGAAATACATTGATTCTTCAGTGCAGTATTTCCCATATTTAGCAGAATCGCTTAAGAAACGAAAAAAACTACCACGCGTGTGTGTTCATGGCTGCTGTCAAAAGTAGAATGTTTTAGTTGTGGCTTCGATCTTCTGCTCAGGACACACACACACACACACACCGGCCGACAGGCCAGCGGATAGCTGGTGACTGCAACGTAGCATTTAGCAGCTAAAGCAGCTTCAAACTGAGCTGACATTCATCACATGGCCCCGAACTCCGATCCCAAGACGTGGAAACGACGTGGAAACGACATGGGTTATTCTGCCGACATGTTTGCCATGTTGACGTTAGATGCTTCCCGAGAGTATGTTCGCTAAGGGAGGATTGTGTTGTCGTTGAGCTCCATTCATTACCGTTGTGCGCGCGATGTGTGCGACGGTCAGTAACAAACCACACGTAGAGTTTACTTTTGCAGGCGGGAGCCTGAGAATCAGAGCTTCATGTTGAGCTTTTCTTTCCTTTCTTCCGGTCTGATTCATCTACAATGGCTCCGGCTTTTTGAGCACATTAGCACCTTTTGTCCAAAAAGGACAAAAGAGATGATTGACAGTTGCAGGATTGAGATAGCAGCGAGGCCGTTTCCTCCCACCCAGACGGAGACGCAGTCCAAAGACATAAATGTGGACTCTCGCTTCGTTTTTTTGGGGGGGGGGGAGATTGCTGCCGATTTCATCACTACGGGACTTCATTGTGAATTGACTTCATTCCAACTGCCGCATTGTCGGGGGCCGAATGGCGGTGATTGGAAAAACCATCATGGAGGCATGACGCGGTTTCATCATTGCTGGGACAATTTTCACTCCTCGACTTTTTGGCTGTAAACCGCTTTTTTTGGGGGGGGGCCCAGCGCCTGCAAAATAGTCATGGAGGTTTTGGACTCGCACACAAACGCGCGAACGCACTAAAAACACACACACGGCTCTCTGTAGGAGCCCGCGCCATTCGCCAGTTTTGTTAATTAAACAAATTGACTTGGCCGGCGTGCTTGATGAGTAACCACACTGCATGATCCAACCTGGTAGTTTTCCCGCTTTCCAAACACACACACACACACACACACACACACACACACACACACACTCAAAGAAACCTGCAAAATGTTTCCAGCAATTTGGCACTTTGCGCTTCTTTTATTACCATCCATTGATTCCCTGCAGCCGAGGCTCCTGGTGTGTGTTAAATAAAGGCGGCGTGTTTTATGTGGGTCGTATTTTGTGTTACGCGTCCCGCAGTAACGCTACATCGCCATCGCGTCCCGTCGTGCATGCTCCGGGATACACAACGGGGCGCGCCGATGATGCAGGGGAGGCGGGAAGTGGACGCGATGGCGGTGGAGGTTTGCGATGACTGTGGCGGAATCCGCCCTGACGATCTCGCGATCGGAAAACGTGAGGCGAGGACGAACGTGGTGGTGGCGAGGAGGATGATGACATCCTAACGCCGATCGCCTTGACTGGTGGCGGTGCGTCGAAAGGGTGCCAAGTTTCTCAGGCAGATGTAGAGTAGATTAAATGTGATTATGAGATTATCGGGTGGATTACATTGAGTGATTCATCGTCCGCTTTCGCTCCAAACAGCCTCTTCTTTAAGAACGTTGACTTCCATTTTGATTGCAGGAAGTCTGTCTCACCCTTTTCCTCTCGGGTGTCCAAAGACCAATAATGTGTTCATTTATTTGACTCCTTTTAATTGATCCCTTGCATGAAGCCCCCCCCCCCTCGGCCTATCGCGGATGCCTCACCGACATTCCTTCTTTGTCAATTATCCGACTCGTTTGAAGGGGGACGTTTAGCTCCTCGTTCAGACCCTGGGATGAGTTCACGAGACGTCCTCGCTATTGATCTTTTTCATTGACCGTCACCGGTCACGACTCATTGCATTGCTCATCGATCGCCATTGCCTGATTGCGTCTAACGTCCTCACCGCTGCCCTGCCCTGCCCGTGACGCTTGACCGCCCCGGTCGCCGCCGCCAACGTCCGCGCGGCCCTTTCATCTATCGAGCTTCATTGCAACCTGGATGCTCATTCGCCCCCCCCTCCATGGCGGCGCCATTTTCTCTTAACCCCGCCTGGCTGAATTTCTAGAGACCCATATCAGTCCCTCCTCTGTTGTTCTCTTTCTTAGTTTCCCCCCACCTGACAGTGGCCCGGGGGAAAGTCGCCCCTTGTGGGCCGCGAGGGCGACACAGTGGAGCTGGAGTGGCCTGTTTCCAGGGAGCCCCAAGCCATCATCCTGTGGTCCCCGGGCGACCAAGAGGCGCCCATGCCGGACGCGCGCATGCAGATTGGAGAAGCTACCACGGCGTTCTCGTATCCGTTATGGTGTCCCCGGAGATGACGGCGTCGTACCGCTGCCAGACCAACCAGTACAACGGCTTCACGTGAAGCCCCGGGAGGCCCGTGGTGGAGCTGATCGTGCAATGTGAGTAGCGTTTGTGTGCGTTTGTGTGCCGTTGCGTGTTCGTCTCGTGGTGCGTCAGCCGTCTGTGTGATGTGTTTTTTTTTTTTATTCACGCAGCTTAATTAGTCTTTGTGTTCTGGTCCCACGTTAACATTTCTTTCCCGCCGCGCCCGTCCAGTTCCTTTGTGAAGGCTGTAATGAGTCCGACCCCCCCCGCTGTTAAACACTACGGGCAGAACATTATCTGCACAACGCTTGAGTTTCTGATGTCCACACATAGTTTAGTTTGTGTGTGTGTGTGTGAGGAGATGGCAGAGAAGCCCCCCCCAAAGACTGCACGCCATGCCCCCCGGGGCCCCCCGCCCGCCCCCCCGTCTCCACTTCCCTTCCGTAAGATGACGGCTAATTAGCGAGCGGCTAATTTATTCCCCAACCAGTGTTCAATCTGCGGAGACTTGAATGGGATCTTTCGAACGTCAGGGATTCAAAGCCGGTGACGTTCCTCTCCGCCGACAACAGAGAGAGCGGGAAGGACGGACGGGGAGGAAATGAAAGCGAGCCGCGCGGGGCGCCGTCGTTCTCCGCCAAGTGATTATGGGAAATAGAAAATCGGCACATTGTTTTCCTCGTGGCCTACTTAGATAACCCAAGCATTCTTCCATCGCAACCGAGCCTGTTCACCAGCGCGTTGCCCCCTAAACTACACGTCCTCCCTTATTAAATCCACACATGGGGTTCAAGAGTATTCAAGCCTTTAAAGTGTGAGTAAGAACACCGCATCGTTTCCAGACGTGACGCACCGACTACCAACATCTTGCTTAAAGAGGAAGAGGAGCTTCCCCCGTTCTGTCCTTCTTCCAACAGAGATTAGTGCATCATTCTGCCCTCGTGTTTGTTCTGGAGCGCCGTTGTTCTCTCTGCTGTGGCGTTCACACTTAAGCTTTCTGCGTCGAAGAGGACCGCGTTTTAATTAGCAACACTCGGGCGGATCCGCTGCCTCGTGCTAAGAGCGCGCGGCGCGGCGCGGATACATTGTTGGTTGGGAAATTTAAAAGAAGGCTTTTATTATTTCACATTTTTATCTTTCGTTCAGCGAGAAGCGAATCCTCCGAATCATTTCAGGTTCTTTTCTCATTTTTCCGCTGCATTTGAAGCCACAACAAACAGCCCAGAATCAAATCATTTCTTCAGATCCTCAGAGAGGTCTCATTGAAGATTGGGATCGAATCATCTATCAGATGAAAAATTGAGGTATTTCTCTAATGGGAAAAAAACTATAAAGACTTCATGTGAAGAAAGAGAATAACTACGAGCAATGAAAGACACACGTGACGTAAAGCGGGACCGCCTCTACCTGAGAACGTGTTAAAACAAAAAGGGTTTTGAAACGGCCACGACGCGATTTGGCTCCCCGTGTCCGTCACTAACCGAAGGGAAACGGGTCCAGCTGGTCGCGGCGCCGATGCGACGGGAGAACCGATCTGATTAGCGACGCCGCGCGAGCGGAACTCTCTCCGACTGCCGGAGGAGAAAGTCTCTTATTTTCATCGAGCTCCTTCCCGCTGCACGTTATACTATTAAAGCGGGACGATGTTTCATGAGATGGCGCCGCAATACGTTAGAGGTCAGAAGGGTGAAACGGCAGAAAACAGCCAAGAGAAAACAATGTGTGAAAATGTTACAAGTAAAAGGAGGCCACGAGCTTGTGGTGTTTCACGAAGCTGCGATTGTCAAAGAAAGGCCTCGTTGTGTTAAAAGTCCTTCACATCATCACGAGGGAACAGTGAAGCTCTTTGAATGTTGCTCACTTTGCAGCCACCCAATTTATGCATTTCCATGACTGGAGACTGCAGAACGCTGCTTGGGAGCAGCAACCGAAGAACCCAATTTCATCCGTATATCTGCAGGTGAGATGTCGAGAGACCCCGTTGGAAATGGCCAGTCTGGTTTTCACCCGCTGAGAAATACTACTTAACTTTGGAGCGATATTAAGCGGCCACGCTTAATATCGATATCGGCTCTCCAGCTCGGCCTCTTTAATAGTCAGGCGATCGGCGGGTCTCGGGGGCTCCGAGCGCCGCTCCGAGAAGCAAAGGCGCAATTCCCACACAGGTCCCCCGCTGTGTCGGGGCGGGAAAACGGGGAGATGAGGTGACGCAAACACCAACGTCCACTTTGTGATCGGCCGCGACTTCCTTGGTCCTTCGCACACAAAGCGAAAGCACATTCAGTCTGGTTAATTCCCGCCTTTTCCTTTCGGCGCAATTTATTCTGAGAGCGCAATTATTTCCCGTCCTGTAATATTCCCACAAAGCTCGCGCGACATCTGTTTGCCGTCTTCAAAGCAAGAAAGTTATCAGGGGATTTTCGGGGTCTTGATGAATCAATCATCTTGCCGCGTGTTCTCGGTGCGGCTCCCCTCATTGGGAGGCGACATCAAAGCTCACGTCCCAAAAAAAAGCGCCAACGGTTCTTTCAACGCGATCCGGCTTTTGTTTGTTTCCTCATTCCGCCGGTCCTTTCTCTTGGCCTTCGCCGTGGAGCCAATCCCCCCCCCCCGAGACGCGTCCCCTCGCCCGCACTTCCAGGTCCCAGCGTGAGCCGGCCCGCCTCTGGCGGCGAGCCACGTGCACAATGCCGCGGTTCAGAGAGAGGCGCGACGGAACCGACGCTGGCAAACGCCGACGGCTTTGATGTGTTAAAATCCCGGGAGCCGCATCTGTGGGCTGGCGGAGGCGACGGCGGGAGGAGGGGCAGAGCCCCCCGGGAGCCGGCGCTCTGACGGAAACGCCAAATCCCGAGCTGTGACGTTCCCAGTCAGACCGGGCCGACGTGGTCCGGGGGGGCGGGGGGGGCTGGAGAGAGGAACGGAGGTGCAGAGCGGTTTTCCCCTCGTCCCACTTCCCGCTTCGGTCATGGAGCTCGACCTTTTGGGCCCAGATGCAGCGGCTTTCCCCGTTTCCTCCCGTACGGCGGCCCACGACACCTCCAGCGAGCGAGCGGCTCGCCGAGGAAGCGACGCCGGGATAAAGAGCTGACGTCCGGGGCGAAAGTAATGAGCGGAATTACCCCGATTATTGTTTTTAATTAATTAGCCCTCCTGCGTCAAGAAGGCCTGCGACGCGGGCCCCTGAGGGCCCCCCGCCCCTCCAAAGTGGATCACATTACAGCGATTCACACGAGCCCGACGCCAGCAAATTAATCGTTTGCATTACAGCGGGACTCGCACGCCGCGCTTGGGGATGAAATTTTAATAAGCCTTTTCTTTTTTTCTTTTTCTTTTTTTTTTCCCACGGAAACAATATTGAATTGATCAGCCGCGTCGGACGCGCGGCGGAGAAGGTCAGCGCGCTACGTCGCCTCGTAAACAGCAGCCGGCACGCGGCTCTGACAGAATAATTCACAACTTGGTCAACGCGTGAGCCGAGGCCATTATCCTCGCACTGAAGACTTTACATTGATTTTCATTAATTGTATATTTAAGTTCATAAATTATCTCTGCGTTTTAATAACAATATGGTAATGCAGACGGTTCTTAAGTTCATTGTTTGATTGCAGCGGCTGTAGCGTGAGGAAGGAGGGTTTACATTATTCAACGCGGGGGATTCATTATGAATCAGATGAATCATTTCATATTCTCTATATATCAGTTTGACTTCCTAATGAATGGAGTTTGCTCTTTCAAGACTTGAAATTGAAGCGTGTAATTCTACAAAGGTTATTCTCTCACAAGAATTCTTCGGTACAAAAGCAACGGCTTTGTTTCCTTCACACTGAAACACGCGACGTGTCGCAGGTACGTCACGTGTTTAAGTCGGATGCGTCAAATGTCCCCGATAAAGTAACCAAGTCGATCGTCCCAATGGCTCCTTACAACAACAATAAAACAAAATTCTCAATGAAATAGGGAAAATAAGTATTTCCTTTTTATTTACACTGTATTGGGTGTTTTTGGGGGAGTCTGGTGACACCGTAGAAGATGCGAAGTCTCTTTCTACTTCAAGCAAACGTAGATAACAGATCCGTGGGCGTATTCGATCTGATCTGGAACGGGACCGTTTTATTTGTGCCTTCATCTGAATCAAAGGTCTGAGCGCCGAGGCCACGAGGGAAAACGTTTGGCGTTTGTTCTCAGCAGAAAAGGGATGAAAGACGAAAGCTGAAGCGGCCGTTCATTGAAAAGCAGTCCGGCGGTATTTCACGTGCAGCTGCGTCGTTGTTGCGACGGGGGGGAGAAGGACGTCGTTCTCCCCTCACTCGTCCAAAGTCTCCACCGGGGACCGATGATCGGTTGCATCTCGCCCGCCGCCCCCCCCCGGCGTTTACTCTGCGACTCAGAGCAACTCCGAGGAACCTCGCCCGACGCACACCGGGGGGAGACGAGGCATGTGCCCCCTGTTTTCAAAGTATGTTTTAGTTATAAAGCCAATTGTTCTTTTTTTTTTCTTCTGCCGCCGACCCCAGAAACCTTTTTCTGTGTCAGCGGAAATGCACTTACTGCAATTTGTGGCGGCGCCACTCAGAGCGGCCGGGGAGCTGCGCTGTGATTCACAGGCCGCCACTTTTAATGGGATGAGTAGCGATTCAGACCCTTCTTCTGGGTTTGGGTAAAAGCAGAGGCTCATCACAAGGAGGCCTTGATTGCCGCTGCATTCAGGCGAGATGGAAGCCACTTTCCTCCCCACTTTGAGCACAGGTGAAGGAAACCGTGTTTGCAAACTTTTCTGGTCCATTTCCATTTCGGTCCAAACCTTTTTTTGGAAAATTTGTGTTTTTCTGTCTGCCTGTGTGCTATTATTATTTTTTTCATTCATATTCAAAACGTTTCAGCCTCATCACATCTATTGATTGGTCTTTAATCATAGTAATTCCAGATTTTTGTGTGTGATAAAAGACATCGAGGGGGAGAAGGTAAAATCCCATCTTCTCGGCTTGAGTTCACTCAATGAGAAAAAAAAATGAAATTATAGTTAGCTGCTCAAAATAGAAGCAATGGAAAAAATGTTCTGTGGGACCTTTGTGAAGCAGCTTCGATGCCACAACTTCAATGTATATTTATAATATATTCATGTTTTATTTTAGCAGATGGTTGAGTACAAAAGTGCACACACATTTATTTAGTCCACCTGTGAGATTAAGGAAGTAAAAAAAAAAAAAAAGTGATTTAAGGTGCAAATAATGCTGCTAATATTCTCCTTTAATTGCAAATCCTATCAAGTTCGGAAGGCTCAGTAATTACATTACATTACCGTGTGTGAATAATGAAGGGAATTATGTTGCAGATTACGTTTCAATCAGGTGATCAGTGATCTGTAGCATTACATTCTCAAGAAGTACCATGCAGACCCGTTCTCCCCAAACTACTTAGGAAATATGCAGATGCTTCACAGTTAAGGGTCTTTGTGTCCCTCCGCCAACATTCACTGTTCCTTCTTAAACGCCGCCTTCGTTTGTGTCGAGCATCTGCACGAGCACGTCGACAGCAAGAGATACTTAAGAGGAGTCTGTGCACACGTAGGTGCAGCACGTAATCAAACGCTCATTTAACATGAGCCTAATGACAGAATGGTGCATTTGTGCCTCACAGAGGAAGCTTCTGGGTCGCTCCGAGGTCACATTCACCCCCCCTGACTGCGCTGAGACGCCCGGCTAAATAATTCACCACCACGTTGTCTGTGCGGGAAGGTGTGTGTGTGTGTGTGTGTGTGTGTGGGGGTCGGGGGGGGTGAAGCCTGTCAGATACTCAAATAAGTTATTAATTTTCCATTTTGAAAGCTTGAGGTGCACTTCATCATCCTGTTACCAATTTTCTGTGAAGCGTGACTGATTTCATTCAGAACATTGTTCTACTTTTCATGCAAAATGGATCTCGCCGCAAACCAATTCAGACCCCCCCCCCTCATCCTCCCCCCACGACTGCTTTCACTCGTCGCTGTTCGTCTATTACTCGAGCGAATTGACGTGCATGCCGGGTGTTTACAGTTCATATGTGACAAACTCACCTCACCGCTTCCATTCATGTTGAAATATCAGACTGTGTCTCTTTCCCCTTTGTCACGGTGTGATTTAAACATGTGTCGGCTGTCTCCTGTTTTGTCCCCACTTGTGTCCCTCTTAGGTCCTCGGCGAGCTGCGAGAACCACCATCACAGCAGTTCTCCTGTTTCCACGCTTTCGTAACGTGTCCTCGAAGAGTTTCCAGCGTCTCGTGTCTTAACTTCTCCGTCCACCTTCTCTGTCTTCCAGATGCTTTTTCATCGATGCCTTCCGTTCTGCCTTCTTTTCCTCGCGTCCCTGCACATTTCCAGCCGCACTAACCCCACACCGTCTCTTTCGACCCCTGTGAAAATGTCGGCTGAAAACTCACCCGAGCCCGTCTGTGTCCCGCCCAGACCCTCCGACGGTGGAGCCGGTCAACACGGAGATGCGGCAGGGCCTGGGGAGGCCCGTGGTGATGACCTGCCGCGTGCTGCGAGCGCACCCCTCCCGCGTGCTGCGCTTCGAGTGGCTCCTGTCCAACCGGCTGCTCCACGCCGGCGCCTTCGACGCCCAGAGGGACGAGACGGAGTACACCATCCGCAGCCTGAACCGGGACGGCTGGGGCGAGTACACCTGCAACGTCATCAACGAGGCCGGAGCGGGCAAGTGCACCTTCCAGGTCACAGGTGAAGAGCGGGCCGATTGCGGCGCTTTTGCTTTTGTGGTGAAATCTCTTTGCTGAGCCCGTAGTTACTGTTGCTACGCAGCGAAACCTCACCTGCCACTATGTGTTTGTGACTGTGCAATCTCGGCAAAAAAACAGCCGGTGATCAAGGTTTCCGCTGTGAACTTAAACCTTTAACAATCTTGTTCACGCTGTGTTTTAAGGGCTCGGATGTCTGAGCACAAAAGGACAATTCGTTTAGAGATAATAATAGATTGTCGGGTTGAGTAGGACACGTTAACGACTTTCCCCACGCAGAGAAGCTATTCTTTGCGACAACACAAACCCACTTTCTGCCATTGTTCTTCGCGTTGCCTGTTGCTTCTCGTCCGTCTGCTCCTTGTGTTTTATGACGGGACTAAATTAGTTTGGTGGCGTTTAGTGACCGCAGGAACGTCTCCATCTCGCAGACCTCCCGTTACGGGAGGAGCATTGCCCTCCCCATTGATACGGTACTTCCCTCCTCCTCTTGCCATCATCTAATTGCACCTTTCCTCCTTCATCTTCCTATCTATTCCCCCCCCCCCCTGCATGTCATAGTCCTCCCGGTCAGACGGAAGCTCTTCAGCCGTTATTGCTCATGTCCTCCTCCCTTCCTCTCTACCTCCAATACCCTCCCTTCCCTTTCATCCTCCATCCCTCCACCCCCCCCCCGCGCGACCCCCACTGCCGCTCCATTCCTCCCGCCCAATGCTCCAGATTCTCACCATCTGGACGCGGCGGCTGCCAAAGGTATGGAGGCTCTTTTAGTAACCCCCTGAGTGCGGGCGCATGGTGCAGAAAATCCACTTTTGTTACTCCCGTCATCCGTGAAATCTGGCGTTCCCTGAGCTCCCGTCTCTTATTCTTAAAGATTTGTTTAGAAATTAGATCCTGAAATTCCACAGCCGCAAGATGAGATCAGCCCTCTTCTGCGGGCGCGGCTGCAAGAAATAATCCCGTGCAGATCAGCTCCTCTCGGCGACTCGTCTCATTAAATATTTGTTGTGGCTCAACGCAGTTTCGGCGGCGTCTCGGGTCGACACCTCGGTCGGATATTCCCCCGCCGCCCTCCGCTCGGCTTCCTCTGCCGCCGCGTTGATGCGTGATAAACACGTCAGTCGGGAGCTCCGGCCCGAGGCCGCGGCGGCTTCAGCGATCAACGCCGCCATGCCGATCTCGACGCGTGCGAAACTCACCAGACGCCAGGCCGCTCTTTGGCTTATATGAGCGCCGTCGCGTCCAAAGGGGGCAGAGTGTGTGTGTGTGTGTGTGTGTGTGTGTGCGTGTGCATGGATGCCCGGTCATCGGGACATCTGTGGAAACAGCGAGTCGGCTGCGATGGCCAAGTCGGCCGTTAAACCTCGCCAGGGGAGGGGCCCCGTCGAGGGGAGTAACGTGCACCACTGAGCTTTGGCTCAGCCGCTCTGTCACTGCAGCCCGGACTGTTGAGCAAATGCTCAATTCCTGCGCTTTTAAAGAGTTTTTTGCGGGATAAAGAACGGAAAGCTTTCCTCCGGGCTGCAGCCCGTAGAAATAGTCGAAATAGTCAATTTAGCACTCGGTATCATGAAGTACCTTTTGAAGGATGCGGTCTGATATTCCACTGCAGTATCCACTCTTGAAACACCGGGTCCTACATCTCCCATAATGCTCTTCACCCTTCCCTGGGCCAGCTCTATCTGTGCCGCGGGCTTTCTATTGACCCCTGAGCCCCCCTCCCCCCCCCACCCCCACCGATGACATCATTGGGGTTGTGTTTCGGCCTTAGAAAGCTCCCTGCAGAGCCGGCGGCGGCTGTCACCCCGAGGAAACGCCTCGCAACCGACGCCCGAGTGCAATGGACTCCGGACTCCACAGTTTGGCACCAATCACCTCAGTCGCCGTCGGCGACGGCCGCGTTTTCCCCCAAACGCAAGCCGAGTGAGTCGAGATTGAAGTTAGTTTATCCGAATGGGATGGATTCATTTACATGTATTTATAGAGTAATATTTCATTAACATGTAATTACTGACTTCAGGCCACATTTATCACTAAGTAGAGAGTCACGCCCTCCTTTCTAGACATCAAAGGACTGAACTTCTGAACTTCACGCGTAAAACCAGCAAAGCGTCCCGTCCCTTTTTTTTCTAAATACTTCCAGAATCCAAACGTGTAATAAAACTAATCCTGCGTAGCGAGTCCACACGTCTCCTCCTTTCATTTAGCAGACTCCCAAACGACGCATGGAATATTCACAAAGAAAGCTTTTCTCATTTTGCCCACATTTAATCCCTCTTCTCAGCGGTCTGTCGTGAATACAAGAGCCCAACAAGTCGCTCCCCCCCCCCGGGGGGGACGGCGCTCGGGTAGCCGTTGTTTGCACAGCGCGAGTGTGTCGATGAAATGAATCCCGGCTGTGCGCCGCGACGTGCTCGCCCCGGCTGCAGCCGTCGTTCCTAATGATGCAGAGCACACGCGTGTTCCCACGTGCCTCCAAACCGCTCACACACACACACACACACACATTTGATCGTCACTGGTCATGATTTTGTCATCTTGATCTATTTGTTTAGGCTCTTTGAGGTGCGTTTTAAAGAGGCCAGTTGGGCTTTTTTGAGCTTCAATCCAGTAGTTCTATATTACCTTTGTGTGTGTGTGTGTGTGTGTGTGTCTTTGTTCATATGGTCAAGCAAAAGAAGAAAAAAACGGAATTGATTTTGCTTTCAAACCTGCACATTCCTCCATCTGGGGGATTTATAAACCGTCGGTTGGAGACGTTTGTCTCCGGTGAACAATTGTTGCAGACGTGTGTTTTTTATTAACTCGGCTGTCTGCGCCGCGTTCACCTGAGTTGACCATGACTCGTCAACATTTCTCCATTTCACACTCGCGTTGGGTCAAGACGGACAAAAACGTTCCACCGCGTCTGCCTCTTTTTCCTTTTGGATTAAGAGACGAGGGATGAGGAACAATGAGCCGAGTATTCAGGGTGGAAGTAACTCACTTCTGGTTCAATGTCATTTCCTTTCAAATCATTTTCTTAAAAAGGCCACAGAGGTTTCATGTTCTGTCCCAGGAGGACACATCCAGGCAAGTCTTCTCATCTGTTCCCTCGCAGTCCGTAAGCGGTTCGTGAGGTGGCGTCGGCTCGGCCCAGATGTTCGTCCGTATGTAAGCGTCATTTCTGCCACAAGAGCCTCCATCACGCATCAGCATCAGCACCGCGTAGCAGCGCTTAGCATATGGTGGTGTTTTCACGGAGAGGAAGCGCGTGTTCACAAACCCTATAAAAATGGAAAGGAAGTCCGCAAACAAGGTCAACGTCTCGCCTGGAGGGTTTTTACTGAATCACTCCGTCGGTTTACCTTTCTTAAATCAATCAAACCGCCCGTACTTGGTGGTGTAAGTGGGTCACGTAATGTGCTTCGCCGCCAGAGACCCGTGATGAGGATCGATGGCCGTCATCACGTTCCATATGTTTTGGGTAAAAGACGACACTTGATATGTGTTTGTCTCTTTCCCTCTAACTGTGCGCCAAGAAATATTCCTTGATTCTTTAAAGACGCACGTTGAAAACAGTCGAGCCGACCGTTCGTGCCTTTCGCTCCACGGCGAAGAGCGTTACGGCGCCGAATGGACCGCATCAGGAGAAGCGACTGTATTTGCCCGGGCCGGTTTATGTAAGCTCGACTGTGCAGTGAATAAAACCCGCTCGATGCGCTGAAACGCCGTCGTCATCCCTGCTGCATTTTCTTGTTGGAAAATGGGTTTTCTCGGGGCGTCTCAGTGAGCCGCAGCCAGGTAGTTTGTCTGATGGCGTCTTCAGCTGCGAAAAACAAAAATGCGCCACTCGCAGTGTGAGAAGCGTTTCTCACCGCAACATAAAAGCTTTTGCCAAGGTTGTTTTTCTTTTAATTAAAATGGCGCGATGGCCGATCAATGAGTGTTCTCCTCCTTCGCCTATAGATAGATAGATAGATACTTTATTCATCCCTCAAGAGGGACATTTTGGTATCACAGCAGCATGTACAGGGAAGAAAATAGAATAAAAAGATACACATTATACACAATATAATAAGATAGAAATATTAAATTATTAAATTAAATTAAAAAATATATATTATCATTTTATAATATATAATTCATAATATTTGAAATATCTTTATCCAAGTTTATTGATGTAATCAATGATTTCATTCCTAAAATGCAGAACGAAATGGCATCATGAACACTTACATACGTCAAAAGCCCAAAGCGTGCGTCCGTATCTGTGACTTTGTTGCTCATTCACTCAAACAGCACCGTTTCCTATGATTGTTAGTTAGTGAGGGAGGTTTTTGTTGAACGCCGCCCGTGGTCTTTGTGACGCGGCGTCTCACTGGCGTGTTTACGAGCAGCAATGGAGGTCTGTGACAGCTTCAGCTGCACACTTACACACACATAGAGCAGGTTGAATGGAAAGCGCCGCAGAAAACCGCGCGCCTCCTCCATTCTGCAGGGTCGGGAAGGTTTGCTGTTAGCCGATGGGGCACATTTGAACCCTACGAGAAGCACCTGCAGCCACTGATTGCACGCCGGTGCCATTTGAATGGATTTAAATGCTGTTTTGACCTCTTGATCCTTCACATTGTCTCCAGAAATCATCCGCTATTTGCGATATTAACATTAGATCAGATTAGAACAGAAGCCACGAGTCAGCGTTTATTTGTGGAAATGGACGGAACGTTCACACAAAGGAGCCTCCTTGGATACCCAGGAGACCACTCCAGTGTAATTCCTCAATGACGTGACCTAACGTGACAGAATCATGCAACTGGTTTGACGTACATCAACTCCTCGCTGCTCAGGTACATCAAGTCCCGGCGCTGCTTTTTGTCTGAGCTAACAAAGGCCGCTGTCTTATCCGTGGCTATTAAAAATCATCTGCCTCGGGTGTTGTCATCCTCCCGATAAACAAGCTGAAATATCAGAGCAAGCTGACATTGAGGTGAATTACTATTCTTTGCCTGGAAGGTCATCCCGTGAGCTTGTTTCTAGATCTTGATTAAAGTACAATGTCCTGCCAGCTCTCGCACTTCAGCTGTCAGAAAATCGCTCTCGGGCTGCGACTGCAGAGCCGAAGATCTTGAAATATGTATTCAGCCCGCCGCCGCCGCCGCTGCTTCGGCAAATTACACCCTCGCAGATTCGGGGCGAACCGCGCCATTGTGGGAGAAGCCGCGGCGCTTGCGCCCGGGTGGTGAGTGGCCCGTCGATTGGGTTGGACGCACTCGTGAGGCGTCCTATGCGTGCTTTTCATTCGACGCCGTCGAGCGCTCTGCGATACGTCACGGCAGATGAAACTTTAATGGGCCCTCTGGGGGGGAAATGGGGTCGCAGCAGCAATGAGGAACGTCACACGGAGGCGGAATAGAACACACAGAGCATCTTACAGATGAAAGACGCTGTACGTCTTTGTGATGCTGATTCACAAAGAGGGAACCACAAGTTTTCATTTTTAAAAGATAAAGCACTGCAGCACAGAGGATTGAGATTTTACAATAATAACGATTGTGACTGAACAATGTCAAAGATTACAGTAGCTTTTCTGCACGTTTTATAATCCGCCTGCACGTTCATTGTATATCTCTGATATCTCGGCCTTTGCTGCTTTTTGTTTCCGTAACGAGTTTCTTCATGGACGAGTTTTAATTCACTCGTGGGACGCCTCGTTTTGCGCATGTGGGCCCCCCCCCCCCCACCGAGTGAGCCTACGAATCTGCTTTCCCTTCAGGGAAGGGCTACGCTTCGGAGTTCTACTACGACACCCTACAGCCCCGCTGTGGCAGAACCGGCCCAGATCTACCGGCTTCCAGCTGCAGTGGACCCAGATGGACCCCAAACATGGTGGACCGCATCGTCGCCTACAGGCTGGGCATCAGACAGGTAGGAACATCTCCCCGCCCCCCCGGGGTCAGCCGGGGTCAGAACGCGCCGGCTGCTGGCACAGTAATCGAGTCGAGTCGTCGTTTTTTTCGGGGGGGGGGGGGGGGGGTTCTCCATCGTTGGAGCGAAAATCGCAAGTTGCGACTCGCTGCAAGGCGGGAGGGTTAAGATGCCGTCGCTGCCGGAGGAAAAAAAAAAAAAAAAAGAACATACATCAAAGGAAAGGAGAACGTGCTGCGACGCGAAATCCTTCTCCGCTCAGCGTCAGCGAGCAAATCCTGACAGTTTGTGTTTGCGATGAATAATATAATTTCATGTTTGTTTCACACTGCGGCCTGAAGGGATTGAAGCCTGAGAACACGCTCCGAACCAGTTGTGTTTGCGCAGCTCACTGATTTTTCTGTCAACTATCTCAGCCGGTCTGCTCGGTAATAAACGATGTTCTGCTTTGCGGCGCCGGCGTCTGCGCTCGGCTCCCGGCTTTCTCTGAAAAGCTGCCGGGGAAAATGCAGAACATTCTCCTCTGCGTTTGTTACATTTAAAAAGAAAGCATCGCTATCGAGGAACCAGTGTTTGTGCAAAATTAGCTGTGTTGCACTTCCTGCCTTGATGTTCCTCCCGAGGCTTCGTCCGGTGACCGCTATTTTCCTCGTCTCAGGCGAGAGGGGATTATTCGCCGCGAGGGCGACTCCCTGACTGCGTCCCGCGCCTGGCTCTGCGGCGCTCCCTCTGGGATCGATCGAGCGTCCGCTCAGAGCATTGACAGGATTTCTGTTGTGCCTTTTTTGGGGGGGGGAGGGGGGAGCGAAGAGGCAAGAGAGGGAACGAGTGAGAGGCCCGAGTGGCGGCAGAAGCTGCCCGGTGGAGGTAAGTGAATGCAGAGGTGGAGAGGAGCGCTGCAGCAAGGGGGAGGAGGCTCGGGCACGTGGACTACACCTGCCTCCATCTATTTATAGATCCAGCCGCAGCTCCCCTGCCGTTCCCGGGGAACTGTTATCATTTGGTTGAATTAATGCTCAGAGCCGGCAGACCTTATGTCTCCGTAATGGACTGCTGAGAGAGAGAGGGAGGGAGGGAGGGGGAGGGAGAGAGAGCCTGGCTCAGGGGTGAAATGTGATGGAAGGCCTCGCTAAAAGGCATCGAAAAAAAGGGGCGAGAATCACAAGACAACAAATCACGGAGGATGAAATGGCAAAGTTTGACATCTGGCCTTGTTGTTTCGATACGGCGGGCCGGCTGATTCAAAGCCGCCGCCCCCAACGCCGTCTTTTCCCCCCGTCCTCCTTCGTCTTTTTTCCAATTGATCCGTCAGGTCAGGCTGTACGGGCCGATCAATAGGAGCCGTACATTTTACAAGCGGGCAATCTACAGTAGATCGGCCTTCTTTAACCAACGCAGCGCCTCTTTGATTATTCCCGTCTCACGTTTGGCACCTTGCCGTCGCTTTAATCAAACCGGCTGTGATTTTTGAAGTTGCAGCCATGGAATTGTGGTGAATCAATGAGGAAAATTAGCCAAATGAAAGGTGGCGGGATGTAAACAGAAGCCTTAATTGGGCGCGGACGCGGGGATTCAGTCATCATTAAAGGGGATCCGAACAAAGGAGCAACAATCCGACAATCACGTGTCATTCAAAGCGTCTGAAAGGTTCCTCTCAATCAACATCTCAGATGTGATTTGCATGTTTAAATGTTTGTTTTTTTGTCAAAAAAATCTATTTGCTTGCTTTTTGTTGGTGTTCAGAGTTGAAGTCAATGTTTGCAGGGACTTTTATGTGAAGTCTCCATCTGCCCGGAGCTTCAGAACACACACACACACACACACACACACACACTCCCCAGTTAACTTCTCTTTATAACTAATTCTTTTTTGATCTGAAACAAAACTATTCATATACAAACTCCAGCATGCAAGCAATGTGATATTGAAATTTGGGGGCAGTCACATGGAAAAGTCAACTGGCAGAAGTTTGATGATCCGCCATTAAATACGATGCAATTTGTTTTTTGCTTTTCATTTAACGTACAGCGAGCTTCCATTTTTCCGCCTTCATCTCTCTTCATCTCACCACATTGTTCACATTCACATCTTCATGGGCACATATTTAATAACATTAGGAGACAAGTTATTTTCCTTAACTCTTTTATGTCCACATCAAATGTTGTCAGAATGCCACGTCCTCGCATGCTGCGTCCAAACGCACAGCGACAAACGGAGTGACGCCGCGTAATTAATGCCAATTAGCTTCGTCCCTTTTGTACTCAAATGTTAATGTCTCTCGAGTAAAAACCTGATTGGCGTTGTTCTCACACCTTGATGCACTCTGCGTGCTGTGCGACGGGCCTGTGAAGCCACTGATTGTCATGCAGAAGCTGTAACTCGTCTTTGTGCGTTCTCAAGGATAAATGTCCCCCCCCCCCCCCCCCCTCCTCCAGCCAATGCAGCAACAAAAGCCTGTTTTGTTTCATTAGAATTTAGTGTCACGGGGCAATAAAAGCACAGGCTGGTTTCTTTCGTTTGTCACCCAAAGACACGTCGGCTTGTGTGTTCGACTTTGTGCAGAGTTGAGATATGAAATGGTTGTCGGTTCAAGGACCCTGAATGAAGGGATAGCAAAACATGCGAACACGTGATTCAATACAGAGTTTAAAGGAATTCGGCAACCGCGTACAGAGCACAAGGCTGTCGGCCGAACTCTTGCCTGCGTATTGCTATCGGAGAAAGTGTGTGTGTTTTTTTTCCTGCAGATATGAGATTATTCCTGCTCTTTGTGAACGTGGCTAATGAGCAGCTAACCCTCAACAGCTCGCAGAGAGGGATGTGCTTTCCGGTGCGTTCCGTTAAATGTGGGCGGATCACACAAACGCCCGTAGACACGGTTAATTGGAGACGAGAGGGAAATGTGTATATTTGCCGTGGACATATTTGTACATATTTGCGTATGATCCCAGGAGCAGACTCTTCACATGAACATCCTCTGTAGTCCATCTATAGTGCCCTGTGTTGTATTTGTACATAAGTATGTAAGTATTCATCACGGCAGCTTTGTTCCTTGATCCGACTAGTCACACCCAGCAGCATCTTCTCCTTTTCCCTCGGACCCCCTGCCGTGAGCGCCTGAGCTCCCCGGTATGCAGCATGTGGTTAACGCTCGCCGCGCACATCATGCCCAAACTATCCCGAGGAGCGCGCTCGTCGTCGGTGCAGAACTCCTGAAGGTTCCCGGTGATTTTTGATGGCCCGACGCTTCCTCCCCTTCTTCCGTGCAGATGGGGCTGCAGCGCTGGTGGGAGCAGGAGATCCCCGTGGACGGAGCCATCAACAAGGGAGAGCTCATGACGCACAACCTGACGGAGCTGATGAAGCCGGAGTCCTACGAGGTGCGCCTCACGCCCATCACGCGTTTCGGAGAGGGCGACTCCACCATCCGGATCATCACGTACAGCGGTGAGTGCAGGACGCAGGGGTGTCTCCACATCTGCCCCCCCCCCCCCACAGTCCGCACAGCTGGATGAGTTTCAGCTGTGCGGCCGTGATCCCCTTTGTTAATTATCTCCATCTCGAGTTCGCGTTGTCCAACGTTCCTTCCGGTGTCGGCGGCCATCGCGGTGATCGCCGCGGCGACTCATTGGAGTGATTAGAACGGCGTCCAACACGTGCAGGTCGTCAGAATCCGCTCGCTTTTGCTTCTGAGCCACTTTGACTAGACGCGGATGGACAAACTAACCGTCCGTGAGACGCCATCGCGACGTCGGGTGACCGAGACGTGCCGCCGGGGGTCAGAGGTCGAAGACAAGCCGCGTCTCACAAAACCGCGTATTTTTGGTTCGCTTGTCTGTTCCCCTGAAGATGTGAAGAGCGTCTTTTTTTCGTTTAATTTTTGCGAACGTTTGAGGCCCCACGAGGACAATAACACGTTGACACTGACGTCGTATTTTTGAAACGTGGTCGGCGCTGGCTGGCTGTTCGCCGTCTGGCGCGCAGCGAACTCGAGCTTCCGCTGCTGCAGTTGTGAATTATTCAGTTTCACTGCAGCCCGTCAGCTTCTGAAGCGAGAACGGCAAGCGGGAGGAAGAGGGATAATTAACACCGTCTCTGCTGTTTGTGTCACTGCGTCGTCCCCGTCAAACCTCGAATTGAATCCCGATTAATTGAATTCAAATCGTATTGAATCGAAATTGAATTGAGAAGGAGAGACGGAGGCGGGTCAAGTAGGGACGCAGAGGAAAAGGACGATACGGATGAAACAAAGTAAAGAGGAAGAGGTGTGAGAACTGGCCAACAACAGACTGGACTAATTGTCGCCCACGCGGGCCGCCTCGCGCAGGTCGGCCAGCCTCTCCGTCACCGTTTAGGGTCAACGCGGATGACTGCGTGTTTCGTTTTTCGTCGCCGGCAGTTGATGATGAATTTAATAGTGTTAGTTTCGGGTCGTCGTCCATCTACTTTTATCAACGCGGTATTTCTGGTGCTCAGAGACGCCGGTGATTATTTACTGAGCTTCCTTCTAAAAAGCACTTTCATTACCAACAGCCTCCCTTTGGTTTGAGCCGGAGACTCACTTCAGAGAGCCGACCATTTTCAGCTTAATTCACTACTGCGAGAACTCATCCGCCCTTAACGGACGCATACGTAGTTAAATACTTAAATCCATAAAAACAGGAGGCTGTGTGTATTACTACAGCGGAGTATTAGTATTATAAAGGCGGCGCTGGCAAACTGCCACCCAACTGTCCAATTGAGTCGTTTGCTCTCAAACGTCGGCAAATGCGCCGATTTGTTTCACACGCTGAGGAAAAAAGGAAAAGCGTTTGAATCTTTGGCGCTGAGCCGGACGCACGTTACGCGACGAGCTTCTCGGGCGTCATCACTTTCAGTCCGAAAATGACTCGCAGGAGTCCGTGGGAGCGCGTCTGCCTCTCCGTGTCCCGTCGCCGTCCGACAGGCCGAGCGGGCGTCCTGATGCAGCACGCAAAGCCCACGCTGGCAGCTTCTTTTTTTTTTGTGCGTTTTGCAAGAAAAACACAAACGTGGTTAAAGTGTCCCCAGCTGTGGGATGAGGGATGCTTGTGTCACCGAGCTCCAAACGTGCTCTTTTTGGAATTTTGCTGCAGTGACAAAGTGGCGTCTGTCTTGTGCTCCTCGTTGTGATGTTCTCTCTCTCTCTCTGGTGGCCTCCAAGGTGCAGAATTTAATGTTCAAGCCGCGCGTCATCCCGCACGGCGCCGCGATAAAACACCGCCGTTATTTCTTAATCTTTCTATTTTATAGAGCTCGAAAGGGCCGCATGTGGTAAGACGCCCGTCCTGAAGTCCAAATCCACTAAATCTTCTATTAAACACACTGCTCTGCTTCTTGTGCCGGACCTCGGGTGCTTCTATCGTTACCCGGCCAGCGGCGGTTCCCTGTAATCCTGGGCTCCACTCACCTCACACCTTAATGAACGGTGGTAGCGGCATGATCTCAAGTGATATCATGTGGAAACCGCGCCGCAAACCGCCGAGGACTCTCTCTTGCATCATTGTGTCGATGATGCAGGATCCCGATGACGCGCAGGAGATCAGTGGACGGGCGGCTGACTGGAGTTGCGGCAGCATCCGCATCCGACTGTTCTCAACGAAGGGCGCGGCGGTGTGACGCCGCTCGGGGGTTATTTTGGTCTCGGCGGCACGGAGGGGGGGTGGAGGGGGGAGGTTGCCGGCGCTGTTATCGTTCCGACTGGCGGTTCTTTTCTCAGAACGCCGTGGCATCCGCCCAGCGCCCCTTAAACGTGATGGATGGGAATCTCTGGGAGTGTGAATTATTCGGGCTCGCTGCCGTGTTTGAGGACACTTGGCTCCGGCTGTGGGATTGTTGCTGCTGCTCTGTTGGGGGGGGTCGGGGGGTCGGAGCGGCCCGGCGGGCAGAGAGTCCGGCCAAAACGAAGTCGTGTGTTTGTTTCTGGAACGGCCTCCGTGGACCTTTGGCGGTCAATGAGCTCGCTTTGTGTTTCCATCAAAACAAGGCAGTTGTGGCCGGAAGGCGGAGCCCCGGGGGGGGGGGGGCCCGGCGTGTCCCCCGAGGTGGAAAAGTAGAAAACCTGGAGGACACGACCTTTCGTACGAGAAGCTTTCAGAGAACTCCAATGGAAACTCGCTTTCGCTAATCTCGGCAACTATCGAAATTACGTTTTCACCCTCGATCATTTCTCTGGCGGCGTTTGTAGCCGGCGGGGGGAGGAGGAGCGCTGCCGCACTGGCATGGAAATAAGAGACATTTTTATCAAAGCCGTCGCGCCTTGAGGGCTCGAACTTTGACAACAGACGAGGGCTCCAGGTTCACTCGTATCACATATATTTTAAAAACCAATCTGTGTGTTTGCATCACCATATCCAGTACTTGGATAACGCGCGTGTGTGTGTTTGTGTTTCGCCGGCCCAGTCAGCGGTTCTCTGCTCAGCTCGGTGTCCTCGAGCGGACACATTTATCGGCGAGGCCGCGGCGGGGTTTTCTGTCGGGTAATTGTGAGGTTGAGAGTGAAAGATCCAGCAGGCGGGAGGAGGAAAGGAGTTCCGTCTTTTCTCACAGGCCGCAGGTCGTCATTTGAAGCGCTTCCTCTCCAGCGGCCCCCCGGATGTTTTCCGCCGCCTCTGCAGACTCCGCTGCAGCGGTGACGGCGTGCGGCCCGGCGCGTGTTTTCAGTGACGTAAGAGGTTTTTGCAAAAGCTGTTACACCGGCGGTGAGGCTGCAGCCGCAGTGTTGCAGTTCACTGAATGTTTCATACGATTCAATTGAAAATGCGACGGTTTGTTTCCGTGCTTATTTCCCCCCTTTTGTTTTCTCCACAGGAGCCGCGTTGCGTTTAAAAGGAGAACGACGGCGGCGTCCCCGCTCCTCAGTACACGTTTTCCTTTGTAGGAGTGATTTGTTATTACTCACTTTAATTGGTTAGATTAAAATCAATCCCCCCCCCCTGCCCCCCCTCCTCATAAATCACGCGGCAACGTAGTTTTGTGCTAAAGCTGATGTATCGCGTCTGTTCGGGCCGGTCAGCGATCGATCATGAAAATACCCATGAATCTTCTTGACAGGTTAAATGGTATTTACTCCGCAGAAGGAAAAAAAAAAAAGCGAAGTGGCGGCTAACTGGCTGGTTGCAGCTGCGCGCGCTGCCCGTGACCTTTCTGCGTCTGCCTCTGAAACTAGCAACGAGGGCGCCGCCGTGGCGGGCGCAGCGCGGGGGGGAAGCTTTCCCTCGCGTGCCAGAAGGCAACGGGGACGTCCCGTGAAGGGAATTGTGATCATTCCGACTTCTTTCTGATTCATTGGCGTCTGAGTGGAATCACGAATATAAAGGCTCGGCGCTTTAAATGAAGTCACCTTGACCAAAAGCGTCGGCTAATGCCGGTAAGCGTCCATGACGGATCAGCGGCTGCGCGGCTCGTTCTTAATCCCTCTGCCTTTTACATTTCATAACAGTTTTTCAACTTCTAATCCCAGACATCGTTCGTTGCGTCGGCTCCGTGACGATTGCGTGGCGTCCTCACTCTTCAGCCGCGTTTGCATCCTATTCCCGGCGTCCCCCGCGGGCCCCTTTCCTCTCGCCGCCGTCGCGGCGGTGGAACACACTTGAGCTGAAAGCGTGATTCACGCAGACTTTTAAAAGGGCGGCGACGTCGTCCCCGCACTTTCGCGCGCCGACAGACGGCTAATATATTCTGTACTAATGACTGTCCCCGGCCTTTTCTCTTTCACAGCGCCCGTCAACCCTCACCTGAGTAAGTAGCGCGCACCCCACTTAGCACGCCTCGGAGAGACGGGCGAGCTCCGTCTGTCGCCGCGGGGAGATTCAAAGGAAATGCACATCCTGCAGAGATGTGACTCACAACATGTCACGGCGCACTGAGAGAGCCGTCTAAGTGTCCTTAAGTAGTGCTAAATGAGCTGCGACGGAATACGAGTGAGACTTCTTACGGGGACTCTGAGTAAACCTCCATCAGGCTATCTGACATGTTGGGAGCTTTTAATCCCCACGGGGCAGTTTGCATTTTGGATGGAATGCATTTGCATGAGATAAGTGCTTCTGCTTGTGTGTGTGTGTGTGTGTGTGTGTGTGTGTGTGTGTGCACCTCTTCAGACTCTACCTCGACTAAAGACTAACAAATTGTAGCACTTAAACTGTACTTGTGACGTCACTCATCTATAGCAAATTGTAAATTCGCTTATTTGAGGAAATTGCACTTTCTTGTTTCTTGTTCTCCTGAGTTTGTACCCTATGGTTGAATGCACTTATTGTACGTCGCTTTGGATAAAAGCGTCAGCTAAATGACATGTAATGTAAATGTAATGCTTTGTGATCATTACTCATGCATGCATCCGCGCCGTATGTTTATACCCTTCAATATTTACTCCCGTTTGTGGCACATTTTGTTGTCGAAACTTTACAAATTCACATCATCATCCGCGCTTAATCATCGCCCGCCGCGGCCGCTGTGCGCCGTTGTGTGTTTGGGTTTATATATTTGAATAGTTCTATGTTTTGGTGGGTGTGTTTGCCAACGTGACATCGCGCATCCTAATCACCGACATCATTATCCAAAATCCCCCCGGAGGGAAACCGTCTTACCTGCGCGCCTCCTCTTCCTCCCCTCCTCCCTCCTTCCTCCCCTTCCGGATCCTCCCAGCTCTCCTGGGCACGGGGAGGTGAAACAGTTAGCTCAGCTCACAGTGAAAAGAGGGGGGGGGGGGGAGGGGGCGTTAGTTTCTGGCACCCGGAGGTAAACCTCCGTTTAAATCTGCATGCCTATGAGGAGACGAGTCAAGGGTGCCGTCAACCCTTCCTCTCCCTCCTCCCGCCCTCGCTGCCTATCTCTTTCTCTGCCGAGCGGCATCGTCGCCCTTCCTCCCTCCTCTCCGTCCGTCCGCCCACGGCTCTACCTCGGCCTACGTCACCTCCGTCACCGGAGTAAAAAGCTGCATATTCTGCCCGTGTCAAGGGTCACCACTCCAAACCGCCCTCAGCTACGTTTGAATAAATCAATGAATATTAATCAGAACACACGCCGGCATCCTGAATCCGCACGCTTTTCTTTTCTCACCGTCTCTTTGAGGACTCGGCGGTCCTCCGTTTGGGCGCTTGGCTTTGTTTGTCACGTGGATTAGATGGAGCCTCCGACGCCATTAAACCGGCAGGGTCTGTTAGCCCCCCCGCGCGCGTAATGTCCAACTATCCATTCGAGTATTTACTGTTTGAAACTCCCCCCACGTGCGACCCGGCGCGACCTTTTGCAAACGGAATTACCAACAGAGCGTCTTGGAGGTGATCGCTCTCCTCAACCGCGCCCAGCGGCGCGCGATGCCTCCTCCTGCACGCCCCGCTGCACAAAAGATGGGAGACGGGTGGAAGGAGGACAGAGTGGGCGTTGAGACTGAGGACGCCGAGTCCCACCAGCGGGGATCCCAGAAGGAACGCGAGCACCGTCGGTTTTGCTTTAAATCTTGAGAGAGCGAATGACCCGGCGGCGCTTCTGCACGTCGATAAACACCACGCGGAGTTTTACTGTGCGATTTGTTTTTAGTCCCGATTTAATTTCCTAAGTCGGCGCGTGGGTTCGTGTTTATTGAACACGACCCGCTGTGCGCCGGCGGTGGGCGTTCACGGTGCCGCGGCTAATAAGTGAAAAATGCACACACACACACACAGAAAACACACACTGCCATTGGATGTTTCCACTTCCTCTCATCGTCAGGGAGAAACCAAACACACTCGCCGAGAGGTCGCGATTCTTCTACACCAGACAAGTGTAGCGTAATTAAGGCCGAGCTCCCCCCCGTGACACACTTAACACGCGTGATTCTCATTAACATGCAGCGTCACGCCGCGCACTCACGCACACACACTGTACCTCCGAGGCCTCTCGCAGCAAACGCCAACGCCCGACGCCGGTTTCTGCTCTGTCGCTCGGCAGGAGAGTTCCACTGCAGCTTCGAGGAGGAGACCATCTGCATGTTCACCCAGGACAAGAACGACGACTTTGACTGGACGCGGCACAGCGCCTCCACCCGCGACACCAAGTACACGCCCAACACCGGGCCCAGCGGCGACCGCACCGACTCCAAGCAGGGTGAGTTCAGAGGGACGCCCCCCCCGGACCCCCCCGAGGCCGGCGCGAGGGTTTGAATCACGCAGGGATGATAATAGGCTTTAAATGACACGACGATGATGTCGGGCGCGGAGAAGCTCTCGGAACGAGATTTGGGGCCTTTTCCCGAACTGAGCCGTCGAGCTGATTGATTTCAGCCACGGACGCAGTTCCGTCTAATCCTTGTTTCTCACGTGGTCGACGTGTAGCGAGTGCGAAAGCCTTTTTACAGGGTTCTGGTTTTAATGTCAATCAGAAGGCGTTTTCAACCGACCAGCTGCTCGGCACATTGAACCTCTTTCGCCGAAAACAAATCTACAGTCGCGTCACGCACACAGCAACAGGTGTTTGGTGAAGCGCCACTCGATTGATTCCCGCCATTAGTTTGGTGGTTGTTTGATTGAACATTTCCAGAAAAGGCTTCGCACTCGCGGTGGTACAAGGACCTGGTGTGATTGACAGCATTGTGCGGAATAAGTTGGAAGTTAATTGGAAGCCCTGAATTGATTGTGGCGAATGTGCTTGTTTGTGTGTCGGCATCTTCCCTCGATTGTTTCTCAGCTTCAGCTGCGATGCTGAACGAGAAACAAACGCGGACATATCCGCGGATAAAAAGGCAGATCAGATTGGCTGCCGATCACAGCTGAACCATCATGTTGTAAAATTGTGCCGGCGTAAGAGAAACAAACACACGAACCCCCGGCAGCAGACCGCCACGCCGCCGCTGGACGAACGGGGGGGCTGAGGTGTCACGTTAGCGACATCGCAGCGTGAATGTGTGACTTCAACCTCGAGGCAACATTGGCCAACGTTTCAGTGGAAGTTTCACTTTCTGACGCGTGGAAATGATTAGCGTTCCCCCGCTGCATGGCGGACGATTTCAGCTGTGCTCATTGTGTCATCGGTTGCTTGATGCGGCGCCGTCTAACCGCGCGCAGCCTTGATCATTCATATTCCAGATTATCTTGTAGCCGAGTTGCTGTTTCCATGGGTACCTCAACCAGGAAAAGCTGCACAGAACTTAGTATTCAATATGTTGGTTACCAGTGAAGGTATTCAATATTCAAGAACTCAATAAATAAAGAATATATATGTAATTGGATTTGCAGGAATCTGTCGCAGGATTTTATATGAATCCGCTGATGGAAAGTATCTGTGGTGGAATATAAGTTCCTTTTATGGTGCTGTGGCACCAGCTGAAGCAGTAAATAATGCATTGGCTTTAATCACCTAATGGTTTCAAAATGTCCAGCGCTTCATTACCATACGCAATCCTCTTTGCATGTGATTATCTGATATGAGATTCAACTGAGCGAGATGTCCCATCTCATTCGGGCTGCAGGGCTTCCTTCCCAGCGGCAGAGCAGGGATTGTTCGGAGCGTTTGGCTCAGACGCAATCAGAGAGGGTCGACTGTCGGACCGGGGGGGCGGGAGGGGGGGGTTGTTATCTCCTCGATCCGCCCCGTGGTCATTGCTATTAGTAAGACGCGAACCGTCCTTTTGTAGGAAAAAAACCCGCTGCCCTTCGTCGCTGATGTGGAAGGTTCCGTTCCCGTCATGCGATCGCCAACCGGCGGAAAGAGCAACAGAGAATGTTTGTTGTGTCTCCTCTTGACTGAGGGTAAACATTTATATTCCCACGTGCGCTTCATACCACGTAAACACTGCATGCATTTGTCCCATAGCTCATCATTTTAGCCAGATCCTGAAACGCAAACGGTCCGTGGAACCTTCCTTTGAGCCTTTAAGAGTTGTGTGTGCGCAATGATGGATTGCGACCATTACAGCATGTTGTCACCTTTTGGTTTTAGCAATAAATTGCACTAATTTAAACTAGAATTACTCTTTAAATATTCAAAGTACTGCAGTTTGTTATGTTTTTAGGTTTTGTGATACACTCTTACTTTGCGGCCGGTGTCCTGTAGGTACAAGCGTGTGTTTCTATCTCTTCATCTCAGGGTTCTACATGTACATCGAGACATCGAGGCCCCGAAAGGACGGCGACCAAGCGCGACTCATAAGTCCGTTTTTCAACGTCGCCCCGAAGAACCCTTACGGCATCAACAACCCGCCCGCCTACTGCTTCGGATTCTTCTACCACATGTATGGAAAACACATCGGTAAGACGCGTTCTCCAGATGCTTCATCGGCACCGCTAAGGTTAACTAACCCCCGCGTTGGGTTTTAATCAGCCGCACGGTTCATCCGCTGCCGAAGACACCGTGTTAACTCACATTCGCTGCTGGATGCTTCATGGAGACATAATAATTACTCTCATTGGTTAAATGGCGTGTCAAATTTCGGTGCTTTTGGTTGCGTCGGCGGCAAAAGCAACTTAAATTGCGTTTGGCGCTCTCTGCTAAATGGAGGAGATGCGTTCTTATCTCTGCAGAACTAAATAACAGCCACTGAGGAACCGACGCGGCACGGCGAGCGCCGTGGAACCGCATCCCGCCGGCTCTGAAACATAAAGACAGAGACGACGTGCTTTAAGTCGGCCGACCTGGATTCTTTACAGGCAAATTCTTCCCGCGAGCAACCGAATTTCAGTCATTTCCACAGTCGCCACAGTGCAGCTTCCAGATGTTTAGAGCAAGACGATATCTCATTTTTGCAACAACATCCCCTCAAAGGTGTGTTCACAAATCCTGGGCATTAGCTCAAACCTTCCTCTCTGAATGCAGATAACAACCTGGTGCGGCGCATTTTAAAGGAGCCGTCTGTGTGGCAAGAGTCTGACTGCGAGGCTTTTCTTCACCCGGAGACCCAATCAGCCCGTTTCGCCGGCACTCGGCGCTCTGAGTGCACGCTTTTTACGTGTTTGCACAATCGGGAGTGGGGCAGACAGATTGGATCTCCAGCACAAAAGCAGCGGGCGTGCACGTTGTCGACGGCCTTCGTGGGTGATTTCTCTGTCTCGGTTTGACCCTGTATCATTAGCCCCTGCACAGACTGAGGGGGGGGGGGGGCGTATCATCTCGGTGCGATGGGAGCTGGATGGTGTTTGTTGTTGTTGCCAAAAATGTTGTTAATAAAAAGGTTTCTCTGTTTCTGTTTCGGCATTCATGCTTCAACGACCAGATATTGATGATTCTCATGTACATTTTTAGTGACCTTCATTTTTCTCTGTATTTTTAAAAATGCGGCTTGTGCCACAAACAACAGACTTGTGATAAAAAATTAAAAAAATACGTGTTTCAAGCCTCTGAAACTAATGCTCCACGTTTGGGACGGTTCTTGTTCCATCATCGCCTGATGTGTGTGAGCTCGCGGCTCCGTCGAGCGCCGTCGAATCCAAAGCCTCCAGATGTGCCCCGCTGTCATCCCCAGTGGCTCCACTTGTTTCTGCGCAGCGGTGTAAAATGTCGATGGCATCCGTTCGCATGCAAAACAACCGTGTGCGTGCAGGATGAGAGCAGACCGTTGGCGTGCGGCCGTTTATTAAGAGTTGAACACGTACAAATTCTGCTATTCTGCTCGGTCGGCCGTGATTGACAGCGAGGAAACAACCCCAATAACTGTCATCGCGTCCTGATTCCTATGGCGCAGAATCCTGAGGAGCACTCAGGCGGCACCCCCCCCCCCCTCCCCCCCCAGAACAAACGTCGACATGAACGGATGCAGGAAGCCGTCAGGGGATTCGTGCGCACGGCGGACCTCGTCTCTCTTGTTGAAAAAGACGACGGTGCTCCACAAAAATAGTCACCTAAAAATACCACATCCCTAAAAATAAAGACAAAACCTTGATGAGGCGGTGACCAACGCAAGAGACGAAGCAACGGGAGTCAGCGGGGGGGGGGTCACAGCTTTGTGCTCATCAATAAACTGTGAAATCAGGGCAGCTGCCCTCCGTCCGCCTTTGATAAGATGTGAGCGGCGAGCATTTGGCTGCGTTACCTCGCTGCTCTTCTGAGAACCCCCCCGCCGCCCCCCCAGCCCGCTGGGCTTCGTCTCTGTGAATAAACCAGCTTGTTTATTTGTATACTTGTGTCTGGATCGTCATTGCGTCACATGTTCTACGTGCACAGGCAGGTTAGCGACACATTTAACACGCGGTCGGCGGAAGGAAAAACTAGCTAGGCTACTCTTCAGCCTCCCTCAGTGGAAGTGTCCCGGGGGGGTTGGACCAAACATCTGCAGAGGTGGAAGCAAAGGAGGTGGAGAGAATATAAGGACGGGGGTGTTGGGGGGGGGGGGCGACTCGGCGGGGAGATGAGAGCTCCTCCGGCTCCCTGCCGAGGTTGAGTAGGCCGTGACATTTCCAATTTGCTCAAATTGATCGCCAGCCAGCCCCTCTCCTCCCCGTCCTCCCCGTCCTCCCCGTCCGCGCTGAAGCCCGTGCCCAGACTGTGGCGTGTTATGATGAATGGGGCTAAATGTCAAGGACTTGAAACCCGGCTCAGATCCTCCATGGCTACGCTCCATTTAGCATTCTGCCTCTCCGGCCGAGAGAGAAATTTGCCCTGGAACTCAACGAGGTTGTTTTGTCATATTTTCTACCCAGAGAAGAGAATGCTCGCGACAAATGCCCCAGATAGTGTGTACGCACGTACGCTTTGTACTTTTATTTTTGCCTCGTTTTTAAACATGCGGCTGGATCATGTATCGGAGGCCCGAGCCTTTGACGTCCGCTCTTAACGAAAGCCGTTTCTCGTCGCTCGGTCTTGGAGTCCCGGAGTTCGGCGCTCTCGGGGGCTGCGGCTGCCGGAGGCCCAAAAGCCGGTCGATGCGGCGTTTCGCCCGCGCGCTGACGGGAACAGTGGCACCGGCTCAAAGCGACTCCTCCGTAGTTTAGCTAGCGGGCGGATACCTGAGACGGGGGTCGCACTCAATTACCGAAGCGCACTTCAAAGTTTGCCTTTGCCGCCCCGTGTCGCATTTGTCTATAGGATTAAGTCTCCAGGCAAAGCACAGCAAGCGAGTCTGTTCAAGGCCTGACCTTCTGAGCCGCGAGGTCTACCAACCACGCGTGTTCCTTTTTTTTAAAAAGCAGCTTCTCCAAAGAATACGGATCAAACGCCCCCGTTGCTCGCAGGCGATGACACTGATACGGCCGACCTGAGTTCAAAGAAAACGTCAGCGAGCCAGCTCAGCAAAACCCCGCTGCATCCTAAACGCTTCCAGGGTGGGGGGGGGTCATGTTCTGCTCAGGAGCTCATCCCTCACTGGAGATTGGGCTGTCGTTGGGGAAAGCGTTCTGTACGGCGCGGCGATGAAAGAATATGAACAGTGACAAACGGAGAGAGTGCACAGTGATGACGCACGGGTGCGTCGGCAGGGAGGTTGCGGGACGTCGACGTAAAGGTGCTGGACCTGCGTGTGGATTTCCCTCCAGAGCAGTAGTCGTACTGCGAGCTCTGCTACGGTGCCGGTGGGTTAATGTGACCCGGCTGATGGGGATGATGCTCGCTCTCTGATGGCGATTAGAGAAGCTGACAGGAAGGAAAAGCGTTTGCACTCTGTGTCGTCATCTGACAGCTTTATGTCAAAGCCCAGGGGGGCGGGACAAGAGGGCCTCACCGGGTCTTATATTACGACCTGGTGTGTAACCCGTCCTGTGCTGTTATATAACTGAACACGCTTAAAATGGATCTGTCAAATTGCATTTTCAAAAGCAGAGTTCGGTCTTGACGGAGACTTCCAGCGGCTTGAGTCCAGAGACGGAGGCGGAAAGGAGCCGGACTCGGCGTGAATAGTTTGGATCTAATGATCCACTAGGAATTGTTCTCTGCAGAGAACGCACTCGTACCTGCCTAAAATTCCCATCACACGTTGCCCATTAGTGATAATTAACTGGGATTAATACGAGCCAGAGAATAACTTATCTTCGCTTGCGGAATCACAACTTAATAGAGGAATCAATTTGCGTGACCTGCGTTTAACCTTTGCTGCTGCTGCTTGGCTCTGCTTCAAATGCAGAGGAATACATACATTTGAAATGCAGGAGACGAGTGTGAATATAAAGCTGAAAAGTCTGTGTTCCAAATATGGGAAAGAAATCAAGAAAAGGAGAGAGGCTGGAATTTCAAACTTTTTACAGTTCTTTGCGATGCTTTAGATTCTCCTTAAAGTCTCATATTGTAATAATGAACTAGACGTTTGTTAAGATTCCTCCCAGTATTTTGGCTGAGTTCTTATCCAAATCATATCACAATCTTTAATATAATCAATTTAATGGCAAATGATGAGGGGCTCCGATTTGACTAATAATATTCATTCACTCAATACACAAATAAACCGTGATAGTACAGAAAGGGAGCGCACGAGAATAAAACCCGCAGAACCACCTTCAGCCCGTTCATATCCCATGTGCTTTTGGAGACCGTTTGGGATATTTTGTACCAAGAGCGTTGCCACGGACAACCGGTCCATAATACTGCTAATGCTTCCACCAGTGGGCCAAAGAGGTTCTATCACCATTGTGTTATGCATCAACTCTGAGGTGAAGAACCGCCTCACAGCGATGACCTACTTTGGCAACAAACCACTTCATTATATCAACGGGGAGGAATGAGGGAGAAAAATGCAGTAGAGAAAAACAAAATCTGCCTTCAGTGCTCCCATGACTTTTTTGTTTTTCTCATACGGTCCACATGACCCATCATCGTGTAATCTGCGGCCCACTAGGGGTCCACTGCCCGGAGGTTTTAAACCCATGACGGAACAGTGTTGGAATTGCGTGTGTGTGTGTGTGTGCGCTGACATTCACGGTCCTCTCTCCCTGAAACAGGAACCCTAAACGCCCACCTGAAGCAGAAGGGCCAGACGGCCTCCGAGGCGCCGGTGTGGTCGCTGAACGGAAACCAGAACGACCGCTGGAAGCAGGCGAAAGTTAGCATCCGCCCGACGGCGTCCTTCCAGGTGAGACGACGGGCATCTCACTCGGGCCCGGGGGGGGGGGGGACGCCGTTTGCTGAAACAAACGATGTGCACTTTATTACATGCAAATTAACCCCAACATCCAACACGACACACGTGTGTCTTTTCTTCCCCCTCCGCAGGTGGTCCTCGAAGGTATCCGAGGACCAGGCATCGAGGGGGACATCGCCATCGACGACGTCACGCTGGAGGAAGGGGAGTGTCGAGACCCGCCGCCCAGTGAGTAGCTCCGAGATTTTACGAGAGGGGATCCGATCTTAAGCGAATCGCCCGGCGGCAACCGGAACGCCGGTCGCCACGGCAACTGTTGCCGTAATCGCATGAGTGATGGCCGCGCCGGCCCGAGTGGGAGCCCTGTAATTGCGCAGCGGGAACAAACGTAACGTGGAAACGGAAAACAGGACGGAGCAGATCGGCCCGGCACTTGACAAAGTGGAATTGGCAGGCGGGCAAACGCTGTCCGGGGGTTGGAGGGATGTTATTTCCAGACGTCCCTCCAACGTACCGTACATGAATCAGGTTAATCCTATTTGAATTCTTCATGTCGCTGGTGGAAGACGACCCGGCTTTGGTCCATACGAGGTCTTCTTTTTATTAGTTTACGTCCCACATGGATCCATTCGGATTTAGAGCGACGAGATCGAGGCCTTTGAAGAACAATGCGTATCAATCTGAGATTACATGACTTTATGCAACACATTAGAATCCTATCATACAGGTTAATTGTGCATGAAGCATTAGTTGTTTTTTTCGTGGGAAATATATTTATTTGTTTTTTGCCACACCGGTTTTCAATCATCATGCTAAGCTAAGCTAACCAGATGCTAGCTGCAGCTTCATCTTTATATGTATCATAAAAACAGTGCTGTTCATCTGGCAAGAAAAAGCTCATCGCATGTTCACGTGTTCTTGGGCTTATATAAAATGAATTGATGATTTTCTGTCTCTTTCCCTCCCGGCGCTGTAGATCTGAGCGCTAAGGCCCCGTCCACGTCCTCCCATATATGGCTGCTGTGCGTCACCTTGGTGATGACCCTCCTGCAAGGTCAGAGGTGACCCTCCTCTCCGTCATCTCAGAGGCGAATGTTCAGACCCGCCCCCCCCAGTCTGAGAACTGTACCCTCGGCATCCAATCACCAAAGATCCATGCATCCTGGAAGCAGCAAGCGTCCCCTGCTAGACCTCGGAGGGACCGGAAATTAACCAGAGAGAGAAAAAAATGAAGATTTTAAAAAAAGATGCGCAATTTTTTTTTTTTAAGAGAGACCTCTTTGACAGAAACGCCTCCTTGGTGCAGGACGGTGGACATCTTTACGAGCACAAAGACAGGTGGGAGATGAACAAGCCTGGACTTTGCCAAAAGAGTTCACAAGCGTCGGAGGAGGACTGTTTGTAAAGCACAAGAACAATTTTATGAAATATGAAAATAATCCACGGCAGCGGAACGCAGACACTGCTGACGCTTGAAGAGGAAATAGCGTTC